CATACCACCACATTATCTCTCAAACACAGTGTAGATACCGTTATGGCATGTGTATGCATGGCTATCAGTGGAAGCTGGTCACTGGTGTTTACTGATGATGTGACTACTGACAGAAGCAGTGCAGGTGTATCCTCTCTGCTCAGATTCAACCAAACCATGCAAACCTGATTAGGAAGGCACTTCATGGTGCATGACCCAAAACAAACCCGAGTCTCTTGAGAAATGGGATACTGTTCAGCACCCAAGTCAGTGACCTGATCTCAACAAAATAGAACAACTTTTCAGTTATTATATACAAAACTGGTGGCAGGGAGACCCACAAAAAAAGCAGCAACTGAAGGTCACTGCAGTAAAGGCCTGGCAGAGCATCTCAAGGGAGGAAACGTCAAACAGTCCCAGACTGCAAAAGATTTTCATAAATAATTAAAAATAATCCTTGTATTTAAAGTTCTGTTAGCCAATTACTTTTGAGCAACGTCTCTAGCAGGAGAGTTTATCTTCACTTAAAATGAAAACAAATCACTGAATTTTCAAGCCGTTTGTTACAAAAGATGTAAAAACAGAAAGAAAAGAAGAAAGGAGAAAAAAAAATGTAAAAATACTTCAAGTGAGAACAAGAGAAACACCAAGTCTCTGAGTTACTCAAGTGTGAGCTGGTTTACTTAACCATGGCATTGGGCTCCCAGGTTTCTCAGTATACAAGTGCACGCTGCACCACAAACACAGCTCTCAGATCTTGGATTGTTGGTGACAGTAAGAATGGCATACTTTCATTGCCTTTGCCTTGTAATGATTTCCTGCATTTCTCTTCCAAGTTTTACAGCAGATGATGTCAAAACACTGACCGGTAAGTATATTTTTATTTGTGCATTTTATGTATTTGCTGAAACTGTCATGAAAAATATTGGATCATTTATAAATATTAGATAAAATTCATGAATTGAACTGGAAGAACTGAAACGACTGATGTTCTTTTTGGGCACGGCTATAATGTACGTAATGGAATAAGAAAGCACATTTTATGCAGCTTTCAACTTCTTCAGCCTTACAATTAGAGTGAAACCTATAATCAACCAAGTATGATTTCAGGATAATTTCAGGATTTGGGGTATATGAAACCAGCTTCTTCTCACCCAGAAAATAGATTTCAGAATATAATTCATACTGCTCACTGGTGCAATACATTTATTATGAACCAGCCTGTGCAGAGATATTTTAGGCAGTGTCTCTAGTTATTACTGAGAACGAGGGTTAAATGATATCAGTATCAGGACATATTGTTACTTGGTACTGAAGTATAGTTCTTCAGATAAGAACACAGTGAACACTATCACTGGGTGGATAAATAGTCCTTGAGGGCTTCAGTGGAAGCAAAGTAAATGGTGCTAAATTGTCAGGTCATTGTGCCCCAAAAGGCACCGCTAAGCCTGACCATGACTTGAGCTACATGGACTCTTTGGAATAACACAAGTTACTCAGAAATAGGTTCTTTGGTCTTTTAAGTGCCCTTAAATGAGTTCTAAGGTCAGTGACTGTGCAACAACGTCAAAACATAGCTCTCAAGGATGGGATGCTACTTGGCCACCACGTTTCTATTATTTCCCCAGTCATCTCATTAAAAACCTCCATCCATACGTCTTTGTAACCTCTTATCTAATTCATTCGCTCAATGGACGAGAGGATTGACACCATCACAAGGCTAACCCAGAGATCCTTGAGAGGGAGCGTTCACACATCATCCCAAGAGTTTCATCTTGTTTTTACTTCTGAGATATCATTTAAAGATTACTCCTCCCTTGGGGTCACTATCAGCTTTCTTTCACCAGAACTTTGTCTTCATGTAGCAAATTCTTTGTCGGTGCTGAAGTTGCTTTTCTCCCTCAGAGAAAAGAGCTGGATGTGTTGGATACAGTAGATCTGGTTAAATCAAAACTTTAGTAATGTGCCATGCACTGTCCTCTTAGAAGTTTCTATTCAAGCAATATCACAGTGCATGGCACATTACTAAAGTTTTGATTTAACCAGATCTACTGTATCCAACACATTTTTCTTAAGAGAAAATTATTTTATTGTATTTTTTCTTCAATTTTTTTGATGCACTGCTTAAATAAGTTGACTGGATACAGAAATATTTAGGATTCTGCACAGAGTCATTTACATTGTGGGCGACCGTGGCTCAGGGGGTTGGGAATCGCATCTGTAACCGGAAGGTCGCC